AGCTGGGATTTTAGTCAATTTTTACAGACTGCACAGGAATAATCCAGAGATTCCCAGATGGCAGACTACAGGTTGAAAACCACTGATCTACCTATATCAGCTAGATAATCCTCCTAAGGTTTTAATATTCAGCTAAACTTGAACACTGTCCAAATGGCAGTTTAAGAACAAGAAAGCCATGAACACCTTCTTTATTTCAGATTTGCCATATATATCCAGACTGAATGTGTAATGATATAAAGTGTATAAACAAATGAAAATTAAAAATAATTTAGAAGCTGAAAATGTGTGGTGTCTAAAAGGTTGTGCAGGTATTGACTTTACAGAAATCCAAGGAGAGAGAGAAGTAAAAAAATAACTGGGTTTCTTCAGTTTCAAATAAGGTTAACTTAAGGAAAAAAATTAATTTTTCTAATGCATACTTCTAATATTTTCCTTAATTTCCCATTATTTTCTATAAGGCCATGGCAAGTCAAAGTACAGCATTTAATCCTTATAGCAAGACCTCCATAAGTTAATACTTTCTGTCTCCAAAATAGTTATTCCTTTTAACATGTTCATTTGCTAAACCCAAATATATTCTCACTCTATTTCTTAAAAAACAGTAAATCAGTTAGTAATGAGTTAATTTTTAAATTAAGACTTTTTCCTTAAGCTTAGGTTTTAGTTCCCTAAAAACCTAGAGTGTAGGGCTTCTTACCTGCTGTCAAAGTACCTGTCTATCTCCTGTCTCCTCTCAGAGAAAGAAATAAAAATAATTCTATTAATTCTATTCCTTCTCATTCAAACCAGTTATTGTTTTTAAAACATTACCTGGCCTGGAAATGGCAAAGTCTGAATTTCAAAGTCATATCAGATATGTGAGCAGAATTCTGCTCTTAAGGGTCTACGCAAAAAGTTACAGCGTTAACAGTAAGTACACTACAAGATACAAGCAATCTGGAGAAATGCCTAAACCTTTCACAAGAATTTTCCTTCTCCTTTACCGCTTTTACCTTCTCTCTCTCACCACAATCTAACAGGGTGCGCAAACATGCTGCCAGCTTCAAACACATTAAGTATTCCCTCTGCGATATGTGCAGATACCATTTTCAAATACAGCATCACACATACGCATGGTCAAACCTGGACCTATGTCTAGAAATGTGGTTCCTGTTCAAGGAGCTCTCCAGCCTGATTTCAGAAAACATACTCTTATCTAGCAAAGACTTTTAATCATATGCTTGAGCTTCATTCAAAACAATGCGAAAGATGTGTACAAGTGCCTAACTCTCTGAATACTAGAACATGTGCTCCACTGTTTAAAATAATTATGGGAAAAAAAATAATAATTTTGCTATTTTTTTATCCCTTCTCTTTTATTTATTTAACTTGTCAATTTTTCCTGTATTTTTTTCTGCTGCAAATGCTTTAACTGACTGCAGCAATAATGCTCTTTGTCCTTCATTGTCAATGTATATTTTTAGCTTTCTTTTGCTGCTTTTGCCTCATACATTCAGACTGGACCAGACTTGCTTTTATCAGTCTTGCCCCCTGCAATTTTTACCTCACTTTGCAGCTCTGCTCAGTTACAGTGGTTTCTTTGTCTTTCCATCAATTGAGATGTAAAAAGGGTAATTTAGGAAGGTGGGAGGATATGGAGTGGGAAGTGAGGATGAGGAAATCTTCTTCAAAAAGTTTTGCCTGGTTTTTACCTTGTCATGCAGACTTATATAAAAGCAGCCTCTCCTGGCCATGGCAGGCCAAACTGCTTTCTTCCTAGCATACCATGGATACCTTTCAACACAACAGTAAAGTCATTGCTTAATTTTACTTGCACACATAAATTTTATTATCTTCAGTAATCACAAGTTAAAGATAAGCATAAACTGACATGCTTTGCCAAGTGAGAATGAACTTAATAATTGTTCTTACTGTTCTTCATTGAATCTTGGCCTAAAGATTGGCCATACCAGTCTTCCACCCTGCTGAAAAGCATTCACGCCTTTTGGTACTGTGTCATCTAGTCTGATAGTCATTTCTTGTTATAAGGAAAAGGCTAAGGTTCTGCCTTTGAGTCTGATCCCTGGGTGCCCCTGTCACTAAATCTTAGCTCAGTACAGCTGAACTGCAACTCTTTCAACAGCTGATCAAATGTGCATATCCTCAAAAGCAACGTAAGCTTCTGGTTTGAACCCACTTAATTATTTATTTTTAAGTTGTGTATTCATTTTTAGAACAAAGGTGCTGGTCTATTCACAATGTAATGTAGAAGCCTTTGAATCCTTTTAGTCTCCATTTTCTAGAAGAGTATAAAATAACAAGGCTACACACGTGATATTCACTGAATCCCTACTAACATCTCCTTGGCATAAAATCCTAAACTATAGTTAATAAAGATAAAGCTTCAAAGTCCCAGGGACATCTCCATACCCTTGAGACATTGGGAGAAGGAAGGTAGAGGGCTGGGTGTCCATCGGTCAAGTGGAAGTAGAGCTAAGTCAATGCCGGTTGCTGATAGAAATTCTGCCTAGAGTAACTGATAGCATTTTGTGTGTCATTATCATTACCTTTATAATTCACTATGATAACCACAAT